CAAGTGCCAGCCCAAATATATACTTAACCTCTATAAATGCACTTTTTCTTATTATTCTCTATATGCACGTTATTAAAATGTGGTCCCAAGGGCGTGCACTTAGGGAGGTCTGACTGTACCGAGAAATATACAAAGATTTGTCACATGATCACTATTTCTATGAAAAAATTTCATCTAGATTTCTATTGGTTAACTTTGTTACACAAAAATATTTAAGGATCTGCAAAGTCACTGTTACACAAAGGATAATCATCAAATAGACGATTGTCCTTTGTGTAACAGTGACTTTGCAGATCCTTATGTTCGCGCCTTTAACCCCAAGTACCTTGGGATTAGGGATGGGCAATTATACGATACTGTATAATAAAAATGGTCGTATAATTGAAAAAATACAGTATAATTGGTTAAATATTTTTGTGTAACAAGGTTAACCAATAGAAATCTAGATGAAATTTTTTCATAGAAATAGTGATCATGTGACAAATCTTTGTATATTTCTCGATATTATATATAAGGTTATTATACGGTAATTATAACCTGGTATTTATATCAAAATTTATTATACCGTATAATTTCCAACCCTACTTGGGATCCACCAAGCCGATTTGGATGATTTAACTACCGTTGGAATCCTAAAAACCTCCTCTACAAGTTTTTCTAAGGCTGGAAGAAACCTTAACTTAGTAGAACTTTCTTTAATTTTCAAAAGATTGCTTTAGCCAATCATATTATTACTTTAATTTTACAGGGGTTGTAAAGACAAAAAATACACTAACTTTAAAGCAAGATCCTTTTGAAACTATTTGGTATTTAGGTTTATAACTTTTGTTAAAGAATCATTAAATGCTAAAGAACATAAGTCCCATATTTAAAATTATTTTTTATATTTACTTTATTGAATAAATTAAAGAAAAGTATTTTTTTGTCAAATTTTACATATAAATTTGGGTGAGTCAACTCATTTGATTTACATTTTGAACCCTGTAAGGAGACATGTCTCATGCCTGTTAGTAACATAAGAAATGTGGAAGTTGATTACGCTGTTATGCGGTTGCAACAAATGTATACCGAGGAAAAAAACGGAACTGAGAATGATTATATTATTGCTATGCGATTGCAAGAAATGTATAATAAGGAAAGAACAAGGAATATGAAAGTGGGTTAAATAATTTACAAAATGAATTAAATTAATACTTTCTAACTTGAGTTATACAATGTAATCTTTAGATTTGACATCTCGCAATAATAACATTTCATTTGAAAATTATGGAGAAACTATTGAAAGGACCGATAAAAAATTTGAAGAAAAAGAGCCTTACAACAAAAATTTTTTCTAAAGCAATTCTAATGGTTTTGATAATGATGACTCCTCCTCCTTACTACCCTTCTCAAAAGGCTGCAAGTATGATCATTTAATTTCAAGAACATCCATCTGTGCATCTGAAATATCCGCAGCAATTTCCACATCAATTTCCACAGCAATTTTCACCATATCAACAACAGACTACTCCTAATTACCAAGAAATGTTTCCTCAATTCATGAAGTTCATGGATACATTTCAAAATCATAATCAAAAAAATAATATTTGATCTGATTATGATACATATAATAATCAAAATCAGAAAAATAATAATCAATCTGATTATGATACATATAATACTAACTTTTCCCAAAAACCTAAACAAATTAGTCTAATCGACTATTGTTAGGTGGAACTGGAGCTGGGAAGTCAACCATTATTAATACGATGACAAATTATTTTGTGGTACTCTTGATAAGCCAAAAATTGTGATTCCTACAAAATTTTATAAAGTTACTGAAATGGTATATTATAAATACCTCAATTTGTGTCGGTTCTTTATCAACTATTGTAATCATTGCAAATGGAACTGAAGCTAGAATTACTCAATCAATCAAGAATAACTGATTTTGTTGTCACATAACCTTTCTGACGAACTATTAGGCAATCTTTTACTTATTTTAACAAAGTGCACAAAAATTTCTTTCTCTAAATGATTTTTCAAAAGAAATTGCAAGACCAAAGGTTAGAACTTTTGTGATCCTTCTAATTTCCAATTAATTGTTATAGTAATTCTTATTTTTAAATACTATTAGGCTACCTTTCATATGGATAATCGATTTTTCTGTACTGATCCTGAAGTCTGGAATGATGATGACGAACGTGTCGATGTTGAACATAATTGGAAAAGATCTATTAATACGATTGATAGATTATTAGTAACAATTACTGAATTATCTTCTACTTCCACTAAAGCTATTGAAAATATGAAAAATTACAGAAATAGAATCAAATATGAAATTGCCAAAATGACTCAAGACATTGCAAATATCCAACAAGTTCAGGATAGTCTTGAAGCTGCTCAAAAAGCATTACAAAAAACTGGCGATCAAAAGAATTCTTACTCTATCTATACAAAAACTGAAACAATTACTCTTGTTAAATCGATTAATATTGACTATCATAGTACTGTTTGTGACAATTATCTAAAAGATAACATAAATTTGTCATTAAGGATGTGGACTTTAGATGGAAACAAGACTTGGAACTAATAACTCGTTCATTGGGGTCAAGAGATATATGTACGATCTGTAATTGTGAACCTTAAAGGTAATTTTTAAACTCTATTCCAATTTTTTTTTCTTAAATCTTTAATCCTTAACATCGATGCTTTATACAGCCACTATCACTCCAATGTCAAGTTTGTTGAGGAAACTAAAATATTAAATAAAGTTCTTGAAAATATGAAAGCGCAATATGATATGGCCAGCAAACAATATCAAAAATACAATACTGATGCAAACAATTATCAATCGGCGCTTTTAAACTCCAAGCTGCTGCTAATGCTAAATACGAACTCATCCACAAGCTTTGTAGAGATTTGAGTAAAATTTGTTATCGATAACTTTGTTGATGAACTTCATGCGAATACTGAGAATATTAGACAAGATGCGAGAACAATTCAAAATATTAATATACGAAGGAATGCTGAAGCAGAAATCTAAAGACTTGAGAAATTAGCTACAGATTTGTCATCCAAACGTTGAAGTATGTAAGTTGATTATATTAAAATTAATATTTTATTATACATTATGCTTAATTATATTTATATATGTATTATTAAATGAAGTGAACTTTTCCGAGTGTCCGAAATATGGATTAGTCTTTATAGCGTTATCCGCTTTTTTCTTTAACGTATCAAGTCTTATTCGATTATAGTTACCGTTCAAATAGTTATAACTATTGGCCCAAATTGGTTATATCTGAAACTTTTTCCCAAATCACAATTAATACAGTAAGTTCCACAGTTTAACTAGTCACATACGTATAATGGTTAATACCATAGAAAATCCCAAAGTCCCAAATTAGTTAGGTTTGGCGTTATGTATATGTTGGTGTGTATATTTTATTATCTGAATAATAAAATTCATAAAGGTATAAAAATTACCAAAAAAATTATTATAAATTACTGTTAAGTTGCAAAGTTATCATTAAGTGTTGGATAAGTGAACCATTTGTCCGACTAGCCTTAGAGCTTGGATCCGGTGGATAACGGTTATCCATTTAGTCTATTTTTCGGATAGCTGCGAATTTTGAATATCCGCTTGTAAATCCGTTGAATTAATCAAAAATATAGTTGATTCTAGATATAATGGGTTTTTTATAACAAACAATCTAAATAGAAAATTTTTGTCAAACTGAACAAATTTTTACTAGAATTATTATAAAAAAAGCTAGCCGCTATCAGAATATATGTATTTTATTAATATTATCAATGCATATACAAAATAATATAATTCTGAAAAATAATGCTAATAAATACAGTATTTTATAACACTACTACAATCTGTTTCGATAATATGATTACATGTTGTGCCTTCTTTTGTCAATTCATTACACTGGCCTTTTGATCTGTATTTAGTAGGCGAGGTCGTATAATGGTCCCATACCCAACTTCTTTTCCTTGAACCTTCTCTTTTTTTAAATTGATTATTGTCCACCACATCCGTATCATCTATTACATCTGTATCATCTACTGCATATGTATCATCCACCGCATGTGTATTATCGACCACATGTGTAGTAATAACGTTATTAATATTATTATTCGCGCAACTCAGAGAAATTTCGCTTGAGGTTTCGCTAAATAAATAATCTTCACTATCTATTATTACAATATTACAATTATGAATAAGTTATGTAAAAAAATTTTTACGCTCAAGATAAAATACGAATTTATAAGAATTCTCTATTCAATGCTACGTATAAAATATGTCATTTATCACGTCAAAATATTAATGCATCATCATTATTAATCGAAGTATCAGATAGTTTAATAGACATCCTAAAAAAAAATTCTCTAATCAAAGTTATATGTTACGTATAAAATATATCATTTATTCATGCCAATATTAATGCATCATTATTATTAATTGAAGTATCGGATAGTATCGGATAGTTTAATAGATATCCGGCTATCTACAGAAATATTTTCGTTATCCGATATGGACAGATGTCTATAATATCAAATCCACCGGATTTTTTGAACTGATCCAAGCACTAGTTCTAAAGGATCATGTATCATACCGGGTGTTTGATAAACCCCTAAGCAGGACCTTTTTTATATCTCTGTTAGTATTGGTCTTTATTATATAAAAAGATTATAACGATTACTAACTATTACATAATTTTATATAGTGTAATAAATGATTTATTTAGTGATTAAGTATTTTAGATGCTAGACATCTGTATAAAACGACACCTGATTATAGTGACATTTTTTAAATTTTTGAGCTTATATACTTAAATTGATATCCGGACATATCGGACAATTCTGTTGTTTTCGGCGAGTGTCATATAACTAGAGTGACGTGTATCTATAACGTATCAGCTCAGAAAAAAGATCCCAAATCGTATGCTTCGAATAGGGAAGTTGTGTTTCGGTTGGTGTTGATTTCTTATAAAGATGAATGGAATAATAAAAGAATCGAAATATCAAATAATTCTATGACGAAGCATAACGGCGGATTTTGCAAATTGGGCCTTTTTGCTAGTCTCCAGATCTAATAAAAAATTATTAACTCAGCAGTAAAGACCCTTTACGCAGTTAGTCAACTGATTAGTCCGTCCCACAAAGTACCCTAAAAATTAAGAAAAATTAACGTCCAATGATTACTTTTTTTTTTAAAATAGAAATATATACTTCACTAAATCATTACGTAGCTAAATTTTTTAAACGCATGAATCGATCAATTGACCCACTCTAACCAATTAGTTAATACCCTTTTAATTTAAGGGTTCTTCAAAAATCCGCCGATATGGGATGCTCTCAAACACTCATAGGCAGACATTCGTATGATTGGCAGTTTAAATCAATTTAATTTTACATTATTTATACAGTTTAAAGTACTTTTTAAAAAAAATAAAACTACTACGAATAAACAAAAAAGAAGTATATAGAAAGTTTTATTAGGGTTGTAGGATTCCACTATTAAAAATAATCAAAATTCTTTTTTGTTTTAGAGAAGTTAGCATAGTAGCGACTTCTTAAAATTAGGTTATCACCATGCTAACTTCTCTAAAACAAAAAAGAATTTTGATTATTTTTAGTAGTGGAATCCTACAACCCTAATAAAACTTTCTATATACTTCTTTTTTGTTTATTCATTGTAGTTTTATTTTTTTAAAAAAGTACTTTAAACTGTATAAATAACGTAAAATTAAATTGATCTAAACAGCCAATCATACGAATGTCTGCCTATGACAACTTTATTGTAAATATACTTTTTTAAAAAATTATAATAATACGTAATAAATTTTTTTTTATAAAGGTGGCATCCATAATTTACGTCAAACCAGTATTGTTTAAAGATAATTCAAAATAATACCATATGGTATTATTATCAAGGTCCCTATTTCTATATATACAATACAGTACTGGTTTAACGTAAATTATGGATGCTGCCAAATATATATATTTAAAAATAAAAATTATACGTATAATCGTATTTTTTTTATATATATTATATATATATAAATTTTTTATTTATTTTTTTTTTAAATATTTAAGGTGAATAGAAAAAATTTTTATATTACATATAAGCTTAAAAAGCTATAATTATAAAATTATTTGTTAATTTTTTAATAAATTTTATAAATATCTATAATTCTTAATATATATAATTTATATAATTTATTTGTAGCCGCGGCTATATGTAGCCGTATTATCAAATATAGTTTTTTTATAAAATTAGGAGGGTTGGATTAGGGTTAGGGTTTAGGGGTAGAGTATGGTAAAATTGTAAGTGGAGCATTTTTACTTGGTTACACAGCAGGGCTACTCTAGTAAAATTTTGAATTATTGAATATGGCTACATGGGATCTTTGCTATGAAATTGACCCTTTGAGACTATGTTGATTTCATGAATAAAAATTAAATTTGCTAGCTATCTAGTTATTTAATTTGAATAAAATTTTTTTATTTTGTAGATTTTATTAAGATTTATAAATAAAAAAGGTTTATTCAAATTGAATTACTAGATGGTTGACAAATTTAATTTTTATTCACAAAATCAACATAGCCTTGGAGAATTATTTTTATAGCAAAGATTCCACATATAGCTATAGCTAGAGTTCTGTAATTTGATTTGATTTAATTTGATTTGATCAAATATTTGAACTCAAATTAGTGTTTCTAGTTGGTAAAATTTTGCTAATCAACTAGTTGCCAACTAAAGTTGCCAACTAATCGATTATTTATACTATATAATATTTTTAAATATTAGCCAATCAAATCCAAAAAATCATTATGAATTATTCCAAATAGGCAGAATATTTCAGAATTATATTAATTGAATAATTAGTTGTTTAGTTGTTTAAAAAATTTTCAAATCAATTAGTTGGAAAGTTAGCAACTAGTTGGTTTTTCAACCAATGAATTGGAACACTAACTCAAATCAAATTCAAATACAAAAATTTCAAATCAAATTTAAATATAGTTATATTTGATTTGACAAATATTTGATTTGATTTGATAAAATTCAAATACAAATCAAATTCAAATTCAAGTTTTTAAAATCAAATCAAATTCAAATCAAAGCATTTAATTTGATTAAATTTAAATTGGCCTAATATTTGATTTAATTTAAGTTTAAGGAACTCTAGCTATAGCTAGTGTTCAGCACAATCAAACAAAAATTTGATAGTTAAATACTTAGATCAAACATCAAATAATTGCAAATTAACTAATACTATATACAAAGAGATTTCTCTAAATGCACCTCCCTTGGGACTATAGTAAAAAATTTTAAAAATGTGTACTTAGAAAGGGTATAAATTTATAGAAAGCAAAATATATAATGCTATTATAAGCTAGGACCAGACTAAGCTATGTATTTAAAGAGATTTTACATAGAGAGTATATTTATAAAGAGTGTATTTAAAGAGGTCTCTCTGTATATATATATATATATAGTGACAATCATAAGTAATAGAGCATGTCTTAAATTTTATAATAAAATATAATAACTATTGAAATTTTTACTCTATAATAAAATTTTTGTTAAAAAATTTTATTATAGAGTAAAAATTTTAATAGTTACTATGTTT